TTGTTGTTGTTGTTGTTATTATTATTATTATTATTATTATTGTTGTTGTTTGTGGATACGTGTTTGTATTTCATTCGTGTGTTCGTAGTGTCGGTTGTGTAGAGATATATATGTAGGTACACATGCAGTTAGTTCCTGGGTACATCAACATCTTGACTTACTATCAATATATACTATACTATTACTTCACTTTCACTATTTTCATCCCCCGCTACCCCGCCCACTTTCTCTCTGTCGCCATATCCCACTTATATATATATATGTACAGTTATTGTAGGTTAGAGTTATTCTTAAGTAATCTATTATTAATTGTAATTCGTTGTAGGTGGAATAAAGAGCATATAACCGATAAGGGATTACTATATATCAGACTTACATGCCATAATGTAAGCCACCCTGGGAGTGATTGTGGGTTGGGGTGGCTGTCGCATTTCCTGTTGTTATTAGGTACTGGGAATTAATAAAGGTCGTGTGAGTTATAGGTAATAATCAACATGTTCTGCTTGCATCTATGACAAATACGACATACGCATATACGCTCTTCTATGACACTATTTGTCATAGGAAGATTCTTCCTATGACAAATAGGGCCTATTAGCGAATCAACTTCGTTCCGCTTTACAGCTCAAATTCGCTGCTTGCGTTCATAATAGCGCTCCTAAGCTCCTATGATGCGCACAACACATACAGCAATATTTGTCATAGGAAGAATCTTCTTATGACAAATAGTGTCATAGGAGAGCGTATTAGATACAATAATGTAACACATGTGTTATCTACTCTTGATTGTATCTAGAGAGCGTATATGCGTATGTCGTATTTGTCAGAGATGCTAGCAGAACAGGCTGTAATAATGTAGATGATAGGTTACGCAGTCCCAGATAGAGTCCTTAATTTATTGTGATGAAGCCGGGCAGGATTTGGTAAAACTACAAATAGAAGTATGTGTTGGGGATATCCGAGACACTGGACTCACTCATTCCACGAGTGCGGCTGGCTGCAGAGGACTTGATCGCGTGGAAGTTCAGTGTTTGTCATGTAAACCTTTATCCTCAGAGTTACTAAGAGTGTTTGTTTGCTTACTGCACGACCACACTGTACGCGTTTGTACTGAGCAAGAGGAGGAGGAGGAGGAGGAGGAGGAGGAGGAGGAGGAGGAGGAGGAGGAGGAGGAGCACGGAAGTGCATAGCTCGCGCGGAGCAGTACATCTTGTAACATGTATGTGCTCGCTGGGCGGCTGCTGACTGACTCGCGCTGCTGCTGACTCGCCGCTCACTGTGGCTGCCTGCTGACCGCCACTCGCTGACTCGACGCGCAATCGCATTCGCCGCTCACTGTGGCTGCTGCTACTCGCGACTCGCTGACTCGACGCGCGTATCGATTTCGCCGCTCACTGGGTGGCTGCTGCTTGCCTCGCCACTCGCTGACTCGACGCGCTATCGCTTCGCCGCTCACTGGTAGCTGCTGCTGACTCGCACACTCGCTGACGTCGACGCGCTAATCGATTCGCCGCTCACTGGTGCTGCTGCTGGCTCGCCCACTACGCTGTGACTCGAACGCGCTATCGATCGCGCGGTGGCTTACACATTACACACACACACACGAACACACACCACGCGAGCGATTGCATGAGCTCCGTTTGCCGCGGAGCTAATAAAGCACTTACGACTAATGTTAATGTAACGAGAATAGCGTTGACAGAAACGCATCGGCAGCTATGAGAAAACTTTACCGATAACAAGAACTATAAATTTTGATGTACACAGCTGATTGGACAACACATCTCTGACACACATGCACACTGTCACACACACACACACCACACACACACACACAACACACACACACAACAACGCATTCAGGTCGCACACACACGACAGCACGCACACACACACAGCCACATATATATATATATATATACATATATTTATTTATTTATTTATATACGTATATGTATACATTACTCTCGTAAAGTACTCGCAGCCATGCAGATAATATAAACTGATATGCCGACGATGGACTGTCGGGGAAGGTTTCTGGCTCTACTCTACATCTACTGATCGTCGCCTGTGCCATCACGCTGTCAGTGAACCCCCTGCATATTTGAAATAACGTAGCCTCTCTCTCTCTCTCTCTCTCTCTCTCTCTCTCTCTCTCTCTCTCTCTCTCTCGTCTCTGCTCTTGCGTCTCTCATCTCTCGGCTCTCATCTTGCTTCTCTCTCGTATCGCTCGTCCTATCGCTGCACTCATCATCAAGCTCTCGCTCATTGCTCTACGTCTCGTCTCTCCTAAGTCGCTCTCATCGCTCTCACTCGGTCCCGCCTCTCCGCCTCGGCTCTCACATCCTCGCTCTGCGCTCTCCACTCGATCCCCTCTCCTCTTCTCCTCTCTCTCCTCCTTCTCTCTCTTTTCTCCTCTCCCCCTTCCTCTCTCTCTCTCTCTCGTCTCTCTCTCTCTCTCCTCTCATCTCTCTACATATATCTGGCGTGTGTGTGTGTGTTGTGTGTATTTCATCTCATCTCTCCCGTAAATGTCTTCCTCCTCTTTCTATTCTCCTCTCGCTCTCTACCTATCTACCTCTCTCTCGTCTTTTTCTCTTCTCATTCCTCTCTCCTCACCTCTCATCTCTGACTCTTTGTACTCGGTCCTCTTCTCTCCACCCCACCTCCTCTTCTCTCACCTTTCTCTCTCTCTCCTCTCTCTCTCGATCCCCACCTCATCTCGTCTCCTCTCTCCCCCTCCCCCCTTTTCTCCTCTCTCTCGTCACATCCCATCCTAGACTATATCTCTCTCCTTTTTCGCTCTCCCCGTCTCGCTCTGCCTCTC